ACTAGCACCAAACTGCGGAAATATGAGAAGCCAGAAAGAACAACTACTGAGATCTCTGGAAAAAGATTCAAATGTAGAGAGAAAGGCAAAAACATTCTGGAAAACACAAAAATGTACATTAAGCTGACAGTGTTTCAGCGTGGATTTGAAAGAGCAGTAACGTGAAACCTGTTTATTACGGTGCAATAATGATTATTATCTTGCCTCCAGGATTTTCTGGTTTTGTTTTGTGTTGTTTCCAAGTCTTCCAAACAATGAAGTTTTCTCACGTGCTTTGGCAAGAACTGAATCAGCAAAATTTAAGAGACCTTCAGACTGAAGGCCAGCTACAAAACTGGCCATGCAACCAGAGTCCATCAGACCCTCTAGATCACCTCCCGCCCTCAAAAACTAATGATGTACTGCAAAAGCTAATGTAAAACTGTCTTGCTAATGGCATGCACATACAGAAGAATGGGAAGCTTTGCTAAAAGAGGGTTAGATGTTTTCTTGACAAACCATTAATATGAATAAGTCTTGCTATTGTCACATTACATGGGATCAGAGATCTCGATTACTGGGATCTTTTAAAAAAGCACCCCTAATCCAGGCAAAGCTGATGCACAGCTTCCTTAAAGTCTGTATGTAAGTAGACAAATAACCTAGCAAGAATTTGACAGTTTAGCTGGAAGAAAATAAGTATCTTCTGTCAAGTATGCGGGCAGCACAAGGAAACAAAAAGCACGCCTGCCACTACAGCTATGAAAGCAGCTCTTACACGTAGCTGTTTCCACTAAGCAGAAGCAGAGTTGGTGGTACAATGATTAACTGGATTGTGATTTTGATGAAGCTTCTCTCAACTGCAGTTGAACAAAATTAACTGGAAAGTGCAGCAGCTCCAACTTCAAAACCTCCAGCCGTGAGGAAGCTGGAGGCCTCAGATGAGAAAGGGCTTCCTAATGCCATCCTGAGATCAAATTAATGGGTTCCAAACCCAAAATGATTCTTAAACCCCAGTTCTGAGATGTGCCCACATACAGCACAAAGCAAAAGCGTAAAAACCTAGAAATTACTAACCTGCACTTCGGATTAACCACAACACATGACCCTCTCAAAACCCCAACTCTTTTACCCACTCTCCTCCAGGCTGGAAGAATGAGACCGATACTGACCTTTCTAAAGACATTTCCTTAATGGTAACAACAACTAATGAGGCAGAGACGAAACACAACACTTACATTGGGGGGGGGGGAAGTGACAGCTCAGTAGTAGTTCCTTCTTCATCCACAACCAATAACAGATGCTTCAGAGGCCTGACAGGAACATCCCTTCCCTGCCACCCCCACTCTCCCTTAAAACACTAAAAATACAGTATTTTAGCTTTGGATGGGGAGGTAAGATATCTGTTGTATAAATGTCTGGATCAAGACTCAAAGCGTGATCACATTCATACACATATATAACATCTTGTATACATACAAATGCTTTCAGGTACAGGTATCTAGGTACATGCATGGATGGGAATTCCTGTACACAGACTTTGATCCATACCATATAATATTATTCCCATAAACCTAAAGTATGCTACAATTCCTATGAAGAAATCCATACGAGAAAAGAATATGAGCAGCATTTCACTCAACACCTGTATGACATATGCAAGAAATGAGCACAAATAATATTGCTCACTGTTCTCTTCGGGGCATGAAATCCTGATCCGCCAGGCAAACAGAATACCCAAGACTGCATGAGAGCAGAATTACTAACTAAGAATTGCTAATGTGCTGATCAACAAAATACCACCGGGTTACAAGCCACAAGACCCAAAAGTTCTGGAAAAAGATAATTTGAAAGGCACTCACATCCTTAGTGCAGCACATTTCTGTACCACCTCTTAATGAGTATCAAAGTGGTTAGCACTTTTTAAAAACATAGGCATCCACTTGTTTCCAACAATCTGTGGCAAGAAGTCATAACTACTGGAAGGTGGGTAAGGATTTACATATTGTACAAAATACTGCCCTCTGGGAGTGCTCATCCGAAGTCAGCTCCCATTCAAGTATCCTGGCTCCTACGGCAAGACAAAAAAATAGGCACTGACTTTGCTCACTGTCACTGTTCTCTGCAAATACAAAAAGAACTTCTCTTAAAAAACCATACAAATATTCAGGAAAGCCAAGAGAGCTACCAGAGGGCTTCCTTTGGTACATTCCTTGGTCTCACATTATTGCTTCTGATACTATTAAAGGAAAATACTATTTGTGTGTCTGAAAAGGTCCCCCCAAAACAGCCAGAGAGTTTATTTCCAAAGTACCAGATGTCATACTATTGGAAAACTTCTGTTAAGGCCTACTGAGACTTTTATCACAGCTTTGTCTTCTTATGTTACATGTATTCTATTATGAATACTGTAGTAGAAACAGAAGAAATATGTTGACTCTTTGACAGCAGAGATTAACTAAGTTGCTTCCCTTTGCCCTCAAGGAGGAAAAAAAATGGTATTATTTTCCCTGTGAGAATGCTCAAGATATAATGGGCAAGAGAAGGAAATACTTAGTGAAAATGGTTTAATAAATCCCAGCAGAAACAAAGCATCTTTTCACATACTTAAAAGTCTGCAAGGCTCCATGCTGACATTTGATGAATGGATGGAATAAAATGTTTTGCACCTCCTATGCCTTCTACTGATGGCATAAAGTCCCGGCTGGCACAGATGCTAGGTGAGCACTACAGTGAAAAACAGCTCCCTTCAAGTGCTACTGGATTTGCATAGTATGAGGATCTAAAATATTCTCGAGTTCAGTTTATTTGAAGATAAACACACTATCGAGATTCAAAACCAAAACAAAGCTTTTAAGATACCTTGATTACTTGCAAATGCAGAAAAGATAGCAGGAGTAAAGGAATAACTTAAGTCTGGGAAGCAGCAAGGCAATTCATTTTACTGAACACGGCCTAACACGATCCCAGCTCATTTCACCATGTGGTGGTTTTATGACAGCAACTGATTACTCAACAGACTTTGTATAAGTTAATGCAAGTGGTAAGCAACTTGCCTTTACCTTGGGAGCTTTCCTTGATTTTAAAAAAAGGATAAAAAAAACCCCAAATCCACTCTCCTCCAGCTGCTGCTCCTTTTCTCAAAAAGACAAGGAAACAGTGATAGAATAGTACTGATCCCCCCAACACACACACTGAAAGCCACACAACAGATTGTTTCTGACTGCTTGTATTCATAAAGTGTCTTTCTAGAATAATGAACAATCCTTAACATCTTTGATGATTACTGACCCAGGGACACAGCTCCACAAGTACTGGACCAGACAATCGAAGAAATGTGTTCTCCACCAAAAAAAACCTACATGAGATTATTTTCATCTCAACAAGATATTAGTACCACTTCTCAAGTCATAATGTCAGAAAACCAGAGCATAAAACCAAAGTTTAAATAGAAACACTATCTAAAAACATATTCAAGTAAAACCAAAACCTTATTAAAATGAAGCTTTTGTTCCGAGACCTGTGGTTTATGTTGGAGCAAATGTTGATGACCAACACAATACGAATTTTGTTGCAGTTGCAATTAAAAAATAATGGGAGCTACTTTAAAAAAAAAAAGCAACACCAAGCTAAAGCTGATAGCCTAACCCTTCTTGTATGAAGGAACAGCTCACCTTATTGTTTGTGTTTTAGAAGGCTGACATGTTAATGGCAGCACTACAAGTGTGCTGTTGAGAACAAGTAGTTCATGGCTCTGCATGATACTCGTCAAATTTCTGCTCCATATGTGAAAATGTGAATTAGAGCTACTGATGCTGTATGTGCTGTGAAACACACAAACATCACCATGAAATACTATCAGAGGACCGAGGCTTTGTCTATCACTTACTTGCTGATCCCAGCCTGTCAGTTGTCACTCTCTGCTGTAAAAAGCTGTCCATGAAAATCTACCATAGCCTCCCTTATCCCCACTGTTCTAGCACAAGATAATAAAATATGTATTGGGCCAGAACAGTAAAAAATCATGCCCGACTGCTCTTGTTGAGTACAAACATGAGAGTAACCTCGAAAACCTCTAACTGGCTTGCCAACACTTAGCTTTTCTAACTATTATTTTCTAGTACACAAGGGTGACATGAGTTAAATATGCTTAGATTCTTTGTTAAAATTAGTTTGCTTTGCTTCTTCCTGTACCATAAACAGCACCTTTGCATTAAGGAAAACTCTAAACTTACTACAAAATACCTTTTTTCTGGTCATTTTGACAGCAGTTCCACTTCTACAGAATAACTTTTTAACATACGTTTATTAAGTCCTTCATTGTTCATGGTAAACCCCTATTTTAAATACACACAAGGCTCTTGAGTGATTTTGACAGGCTCATGACTCAATCTTCTCACCATGGGTTGAAATAATGACACCGAAGGGAAAATTTCACCACCTGGAACTCAGCTGACACTGAAGGAACAAATCCAAAATTCCTCTAGTATTATGAAGGGACCAGTAACATATCAGCTTCCCTTCTGTTTCTGACCATCTCATCTTATTCTCAAGTAAATTCTGGTTTATTTTAAATGAACGCAGGAAAAAAAGGAGGAGTATGAAAGCAAAATATATGGAAGAGAAAGAATCCATGAGAAAAAACCAAAACCTCAAAACAAATAAACTAAATTTCTACATAGCATTTTGTCAAACACACAAAGTCTTACTAGGAAAGCACTAATGAAAGAGCCAGTCTCACTGCTATCCAAGTGAACTAAGCACTGTTATATAGTATCCACAGTGCATATAATCACATATGATACCACTTTTGGTGAGAAAAAAGGCTCTTCTAATGAGGAGATTAAGCTAAACGAATGCAGAGATTAAAAAAAGGTTAAAATTAAGTACAAGCACTCTTACTAAAGTGCAGTTCTTTTCCAAGCATTGTGTGAGTGTTCAGGAAGTAGCAAGAAGCAGTGCTGGCGACAGCGCGGCGCTGCACTGAGCAGCTCACCGCGCAGCTGAACGTTCATACTGACCTGCCCCAGCATGTCTGGTGCGATGGGAAACGTGGGCCAGATGGCTGAGTAGACACCGAAGAACACCAGCCAGAGCAGCATGCTTCCCCAGACGGCCAGGTGACTGAACTGTCGAGGAGAAGGGAAAGAAGGAGAGTCAACACAGGGCACTTCTCCATCCACCTAACCCATAGGTATTTCTCTGTTCAGGTCTCCGTCGGTCTCTCTCAGGCCTGTCTACCGCACTTGGTTTTACACCAGTAGCACAGGTTGTTTCAACAGTATAAACCAGCTCTCCTCTTTAATTTTTGCCTCACTACAGGGTAGACATATGGTCCTCTCAGCCAATCTGTCTTTCTTGGGGCTCCAAAATCTCATCAGATTTTCCTTGGTACTCTGATTTCTCTCACCTAGTGCCTGCTTCCTGTTGTGCACATGCCAGGTTCAACACAAACATCAAAAGGTAGAAATTTTCAAAGGCTCAGGTTAAAGTTCACACGGACCAATCCCTCATGGCAGAGGGCATGCAATCAAGCCATGTGCACCACTCGCTGACCTTTCACAGAGGAAGACTCAGTGCTGCGTAATGCACTACCACAATCAACATCTACTAGTCACCTTTGCTTTTTTTGTTTTAAAGGTGTCCTAAGTGATGCGATGCAGTATATATCTTTACTGCTTCTTTAATCTGTAGACTCACTAAGAGTAAACAAAAGTAGTATTAAAGTGGCCAAGAGCATGTCCAGAACAGACTTCATTTCAGTTGCATTAAAGTGATTTTTCCTACGTACCCAAACTATTTTGCTGTTCAGGATGATTTAAGCTGTTCTACTTTTACACTGCAGTGGATGGAATCAGTAATTTCAGTTGTAACAAGCAACTGAGCTCATTATTGGCTCCAGCTTTTGTGGATGCCAACGACTCCCATGGCTGATGACTTTGGCTCCAATTCAGTGAAGTACCTGCATAAATCTTAATTGCTAATTACATATGGGTATAGGAACATGGGAATGAATTCACACACTGGTTGCTGTGGTGGACCCAGTGTGTGTGTTTAGTTCTCAGCTTTATACTTTCTATCTGATGACTGTACTTGTTGACTTTTTGAACAGTATGTCTAAGAAACAAAGTGTCTGAGTATTGCAGTTCTGCCCGCTGCGAGATAGACACAAACTTCTGGAAGGAGGATAAAGTTGCTCCTCCTCTGGAAGCACTGAGCATCCTCAGAAAGGAGAGCTTTCTCCAGCACAGGCAGTAAAAGCAAACAAGCACAGAGTCTGCAGCACCAGTGCAGTGCAGACTGGCAGATAGCTGGGAGAAACTGGAAGCTGCCTTACAGTAGAAGCATTCATATGGCAAAACATCAGAAGCGATGGAAAGAACACTCTTCTAGGCACTCTCAGAAAGCTGGAATTTTGTTCAACCCTAAAAGTTGCTAGGCTAATGAGCAGTACAGTGGGCAGGAAGATTTGTTTTCAACTGGAGATCTGACCAGAACTGCTTTATTTTAAAACCCCCACATTTTAAGATTCAGTTTTAATGTGAATAAAAACTAAGAGACTGGAAGGTTTTGGTGTTTTGGTTTTTTATTGGTTTGTTTGGTTTTTTGTTTTTGGTTTGGTTTTTTTTTTTGGGGGGGGGGGGTGGTGTTAACACTTGGAACAAGGGGGATATTTTACCCTTTCAGTCTACTTGCTTTTCTGAAAACTAAGGACAATTCATGTCAAGATTCTGACTAAAATAAAGCCTTGCCACAGTGAGCAACTGTAGTGCTCAGCTCCCCAAAACACAAGTACTGCAAGGTTGCTGCAAGAACTCATCTTTAAGAAAAGCCAGCCCCATGTAAAGGCAGAACAGCACCAGCACCGCTTTCCCAAAGGACATGACTGACACCTTCTCTTGAGCCACACAGCCTTCCTTCCAAACAAGTCGACAGAAGGCTCTGGATAGCTTGGACTGATGCTTCCAAGTTGCAAGCTCCTACAGACTTTATGATTAAAACCAGCAATGATAAAAGCAAGCAGGGAAACCAGTCCAAGACACAGTCTTATTTTTTTTAAGAGGTGTATTTATGCTATTGAAATGACATTGGTTTTTTTGTCTCCCTCCTGATTTTCTTCCCTGTCTGCTGGTAGGACAGTTTGAGTTTTGCAGCTTTTCACCTTGCCCTTTCCAGCTCAGCAAAGACTTTGCTCATTTAATGCTGTCTTTATCTTCTCTCGTGGTTGTCCCAATCAAGTCTTCATCTCAGGCTTGTACCTGCCTGAACTGCTTCTCTACCTTTAAAAGAGCTTCTGCTTTCAGGAAGAGCCCTTCTTGCCCTGCTTGAAAATGTTCCTTATACTCTCACCCCACCAACCTTTGCACTGTTGATTCTCCACTGATCTCTGTCATTTACCCCTGGAGAATTCATGTACAAAGCAGAAGTGAGTCCATCAGATGTGTTAAATGAATGAGAGTCAGAAAAAAGAAATCAAGGCTCTCACATAAAAACTAGACATGCTAAGGCTATCCTCTGCATCCTATTTACCTGAAATAGTTCATATAGCATGGTAAAGCAGTGAAGAAAGCTGTAAGTATTTGGGAAAAAGCCTAGTGCGGTGTTCCAGATAGGTAACACATAACATGAAGCTGCTTCACACAGCTCCAACATGCGGATTTCGTTATGCAGCACGTTACCACTTTTACGGAAGCCTTTCTTTCCACACTGCCGACTGGATATACCAGGCTCCCAGCCACTTCGAATCTGCATTATTTATTTAAAGCTTTCAGCTAAACCCATCATGTTCTCCCAAGTGGCAGCATCCCTCTCACTCTCAAGAACAAATTGCATGTAACCAAGCCACTTGATGATGGAGAAGAGGCTTAACTCAATGTTGTACATTTAATACTCTTCAAGTAACCTAAAGATTCTCTGTGTGTTGATTCACTCACAGCTGAAACAATAACTGTAATCAACATCAGATTCCAAGATAATGAGAGTCACTGGTCCAAGCAATGGGACAGGAATTAGAAATGTATATAGAAAAACGCTGATTCTAAACACAATGACTTTTTTATGCATAACAATAATTTCTCCATAAAATGCCAGTGTTAAAGAAAACTGAGATCTACTAAACGTTATGGTATCTTTCAAAATAAAATTTAGATAATAGGGGATCATAATTATTCCCAAGTGACTGAAAAGACACCAATTACCCAGGGAAGGGGAGAGAGGAGGAACCATCAAATAATTCACAACATAACAGGATCTAAACTGGCTCACATGCCTCCAGTGCAGACTTGGATACATCCTCTTCTCGTGCATGAGGGATTAATTTAAGTATTTTTGCATTTTAAAATGTTGGTACGCAACATAGAACTTATGCATAAGCAACAGCAAAAAAAGAACAGATTTTATCTTCAGATGAGAGAATGAGGCAGAGAATATTAGCATCTCCCTAATAATTAAATAACCTATACAGATAGTATTTCATCTTTAAAATTCAGAACAGACATCAGCTCATTAATCTTAACAATTCCTCTGGGAGGAATGAAAGAAAACATTTCACAACTAACAGAAGCAATGAGGTTAGGAGATTTAAGCCCAGCCCCTCAAAGAAACTGCTAAACTAAGAATATGAGAGTCCTCAAAACAGCTTTGTCTTGAGGGCAGCGTCTTAGTATGTCATGAAAACTAGATTCCCATAAGGCATCTCACAGGTGGGGAGAAACAGGGACTCCATCAAAATCAAAAGATTAGTGTTTCAGAGGAGCTGGGGGAAAGAAGGGGAGAAAGGTGTCAAAGGTTGATCAACACAGGAACCTTCCTACCCTCCATATTCTTCAGAGGTCACTGCCCTGCTGGATTCTGACACCTGTCAGTAACAGAGCTCGCTCTCACTGCAAGTAAATGTCTCAATCTAGGAATCAACATAACCATTTGACTAACACCCTTATTACACTAAGCTTCCAAACAAAAAAAATCTCATCCAATGTGAAGTCACCAGTGCTTTTTACTAGCTTCCAAGACATTTTCAAAGCCCAGTTGTTTATCTATGCGCAGACACCTTTCGTTCCTTATTGCATTGATTTTTAAAGGGGCTACAGAGTACAAAGATGATGTTCTTGATCTATTTCCTTAAGCAATTACAGTAGTATGTTGATTTCATGCAAAATTTACTCAATTTTAAATAGGTATGTTGGCAATATACTTCTAGTGTTCTCTTCCTACTTCTGACAGGTTGCCCTTTTTCATCACAGATATCATGGGATCTACGAGTTCATTCTCCTCTCACATCCATTACTTACAGAGCTTTGCGACTTATGCTGACAAGATAGATCCAATTAAAACACTAAAGCCTCAAATGATTTTTAGTACTTCTTTTCTGTATTAATAGTCACTGAGGAGGAACGTGTTCTAATAAAATAAGATATACTGGAAAGTACTTACTCTAGTCCACGCAGTTGTTTCTAAGCCAGCTTTCAGACAAACAGTGACTACAACATACTGCAAGGAAAGAAGAAAGAGACACCTTCAGTACTAACGCTCTCAAATTCAAAGGTGTTCATTGCCTGATCTCCCCTTTACACCTAAAAAGTTACTACCACTTAGGTACCAACCCAGGACCTTGGCAGTGTGGGATGGGGGAAGGACAGAGCAGAAGATACTGTTGGTGCACGTCTGGAAAAAAAAAGAAATGAAAAAAGAAGGAGGGAAATCATGCAGACAGCATAAGTTTGATTTTATTTTACTTGTACACTTTCTTCTGGTTTACATCATTTTCTGATGGGATAAAAAAACTGTAAAGAAATTCTACCACTCAAAAATTGCTAGGATACACAAACTTACAGTATAAACTATGTTTCCAACAAATAAATAGTCAATTCCCTGGCCATTTGTGAATACTGCATCTGAAAGGAAAAAAAAAAGAGAAATTATCACATTTGTTATCAGTTTATTAACAGACTAGAAGAAATAACAAGGAGATTTTCAGGAGAAAATAACTGGTCCCAACCTTGCCTTTTAGAACATTTAAGAGCACTTTTAGAAGCTGTGAGATAATGGTAATGCAAAAGTTGTCGTAAGCCAGGACTGAGACACGATGCTTGGATAGAGCATATATCCATAGTCCTGGTTGCCAGAAGCCATTCTAGCAAAATGGGAAGTGTTTGCCAGACCCTAACGCGTATTTTGCCCGTAAGAGCTGAGGTATGTCAGCGTCACTTGTTCTGTCACCATCTGTTCTGTACTACTTATTGACACCTTTAACAAATCCCATTATTTGCTGTGCCTGTGAAGAAAAAGCCTGTAAAATACCAGCTGATTTGTGGTGAAATAGAGCCGAAATAAGAAAAGCCGCAAAGGTTCCATCTCTAAAGGACACGTGTAACATCTAAAATACCTTACTGGAGGTTAATTCTGTACCTGAGCAGCATTCAGTCTACGCACCCTTGCCCTAGTCAAGCGTGCGCAAGGGTAAGTACATGTTAATCTACCGTTTGAAAGTGCCAACCGTGGCAATACTTCAAATGTCTGTTTAGTCTTTCTTAGTCCTTGTTGAATAAAAGCGGAACACCATGAAAGCACATTCGACAGCCACACTAATGCCAAATGAACTTGTACTCACAGGAGCTTTCAAGCATTACTCAAGCATGATAAGTAGTGCTGTTTTCACAGGTTTTAAGACAACTGCTAGAGAAATACACAAACAGCAGGGATGAAAAAGGCTTAAGATAAAACCTTGGACCTGTTCCTAAACACATACTGCCTAGCACAGTGCTTCTACTACAAGGGTACCATTTTGCCAGATTTATTTGCAAAACTGGATCTGACATTCTTAAACTAGGGTCATCTACTTAGTTAACTACGTTCCAGTAACGTAGGCCTCCAGGATCAGTAATTATTAAGTCTACAGAGAAGAGTCCCTGACACGCTGACCTCTGTGGTGAAGACTGCTCAGCTTATGGGCAAAAGGACTATATATTTAGTCAGTGCAGTTACCCCAAGCTACTTGTTATGTTTTTCTTCTACAATGGCTGGATGTGGTTGTCTCCAAAGAACTGACAGTTTGTGAATGTTCTCCAGAAGTTGCTGCTTCTATATCCCTGCTTTCTTTTCTCTTTGAAACCCCAACTACTAAGAAACAGCACCAGATAGACTAGTCACTAACATTGCAACAGGAGCTAAAGCCTGAGACAGCTTGGTTAGGAACTGGTTTGTTTCTAGCCGCTGGCATCTCTATCAGCCCAACTCCTCCCCGGTACTCTGTGGCTTCAGGCATTTACCACATCATTCACAAATACACATCAAGTTTTAACAGTCACTTCACTTGCTCTTTCCTCTAGTGTCAATGAAAAAGGTGAAGAGCACCAGAGAATTGAGCCTTCCATGTCCAGTGAACCCTGCTGATGCCAGCAGTCTCAGTTTATTAAGAAAAAGGCATGCCTAAATACATATTGGTTTTGATAGATCTAGAATAAACTGACCTAATGACTTTGCTAATATATTGTTCTAGTGCAACAACACAGTGCATATTTAAATAATTGAATAATTTTGGTGTAAATCTCAATTTTTTTAAAGGTACATTTTACTGCATTAAGTTAATGCCTTTTTCCAGTGGTTTCCACGACCTTCCACTTTGGGAGGCTAAGCAGTCCTGAAAGGAATGATATTTCTGTTAATGAGAACAGCAGGACGCTCAGTGAACATTCATTTCTAAAGCCATACAAGTGCCCATTCATAGACTATATGCACTTCACATTCTAAGGAACTTGAGAGGTTAAAAAACATCCCAATGTGAATGGTGCATTTTTGTCTCTAGCACTGAAATCCCTTTTTCCCCTTGGAAAGACAAAGAAACTTGAAAATTCAACATTCATTCCTCTTCAGAAAGCAAACTAAGCAACCTATTCAAAGGAACTCAGTAAGTTACCATTTAAGCAGGTGAGTATTCCAGTCTTATTTTAATTGTTGAAATTAATATTACATTATCTATTTAGAAATTAGTTAGAAAAACATTTATGGAAGACTAAAACAAAACCTGTATTTTTCTTTAACTGTAACCACTACAGACATCAGCCTAAAATTTCTGAAGTGGGATTTAAAGAAGAGCTAGTCGAGATTAACATTTCACATAGATATTTTTATGTGAAACAGAACAACAAAACCCCTCAAATCAAAACAAAAACCAATCAACCATGAAAACCCTCTCCCCAAAACTGAACCGAGCTCCCAGCCCACATACGGAGAAAAGGGAAGTCCCTTTCTTGTCTTGTCCATCAGACAGCATGTAAAGCCACCACTGCGGATACGATACTGACACTTTAGTCAGGTAGAGGAACATGAACCTGCCTCCCAGAAGTATCTTTAACATCATGCCTCTGATGTGAGCATTCATCTTCTCTCCCTTTCCATTTCCTTTCACCTCCTCCCCAATTAACCCATCCTGGAGCTGAGAAAGTTGTTCTGAAATTCGTGTTTTCCAGGAAGGAGTTCCAGTTTTGAAAAATTCATTATTTTAGATAAATACTATTCGCCCCTGCCCCAAAATTCCTCATCTGATCTAGTCCTATTTCTTACAACAGTAAAAGAACAGATTTCCCATGGTTCTTCCTGCCCACACAACTATATTGCAAAGCTAGGTAGGAACCACATGGGATTTACTGTTCCCTGAAATACCATGTAGTTGCATTACCTTTCATGGAAAGCAAGATTTAATAAGACTAATTTGTACAAGAAAAAGTCTCATTTCCCTAATATCTCTGACTCTTGATCTGGTCTACTTCCATTCTAGCCAATTAATTTTTTCCACAGACTTCAACAGTAGTGAAATGTCTCTATTTTATCCTACATTTTACAGTACTGTGTTATGGAATGGGAAAGGTCCAACAAGATATAAAGCAAATGGTTGTAATACAGCTGCTGTAAGTACATTATACAGTAAAAAGTTTAGATCTCAACCCACTACCAAAAAAAAAAAAAAGGGCATTTTACAGAACATTATTCACTATTCGAGTAAGACTTTTTGGCAAAGCAGCGGTTTAATTTTTCACGTGTTAAACTCACTATATGAACAATAATTATGTTAAATTAGAATAAGTTCTGAAAGCCACTAGATAACTAGCCAAGTTCAGCAGCTACAGCCTATTGAGCTGTCTGTCAGCATTATTTTCTTGGGACTTGTCACGACCTCCTGTTCTGCAAACACACTGGCTCTCTGAGACTGAACATCAGTTACTGATGGAAGAAATAATGAAGCCTTTACCATGCTCCAGCACTTTCAGTGGAAACCAGAAGAGAATGATGGAATGGATCAGGGCATTGATGCAGTGACCCCAGAAAACCTGAGGGAAAACAAACCAAGTTGTCAGTGAAGTCCAAAACTCTTGACCTCTCTCTAACTCCTAACAAACATCTCATTGTGTAGTTAAAAGTCACACAATGTTTGTCCTGAAGTGAAATACCTAAACGTCTGCAGGACCTATTTGCTCCTACAATTTCTGCTCTTTCACAAGAAAACACTGGTCGAGTTGGATGGTTTTATTCTAACAACTTAAAATATAACAGGCAAGCATGCTTGCAATTTAAGATCTTTATCAAAATACAGCAAACAGATGGAGTCACCCTTCTTTAATTACCTCAAAGAATTATATTAAAAGATTCATCAGTACTATGACATGTTTTATTTTCTTTTAACGGGCAAATACATTGTGCTTCACAATGTTTCACTTACAGATAATGCTGTTTTGCACAAACTAGAGCTTTACGTACTCTACAATTTCCTCTCTAAACAAATCAATCGTACAGCTTCCTCGATTCAGAAGTACATTTAGATGTGCCTGTTATGGAATAACAACAGAATTGCGAATGATGGCATTTTCCGGCTTTAAATAGCAAAACAAAGCGAAATGTGTTCTTCAAAACTCAAGGTCCAAATAAACCAATTCAAATTTTATCTTCCAAAAGAACTATGGGAATAGAGCTATACTATTTGTGAAAAAGCCCTCTAGTAGAGAGCATTATGACAATTTGTATATTAAATAAAATCCAGGTGATGTTATCTAGTTCCTGTTAAAGTGGTAAACTCACCACTTACCAGTAGTTGTGAATTGAAAAGTCATACTCTGATACAAATCTTATTTTGAATTGAAATTTATGGATATTTCAGGACCAGTTTCAGTTGAAGCCATAGCAGAAAATCCTTATTTAAAAAAAAAGGACTTTTTTTTAAATAAAAAATTTAATCCCTTGAAAAGAATGGGGAGGCAGAACAATCTTAATCTCAGTGGCTAGCATAAAGCAGAAGTAACAGTGGGGAATAAGTTATTTTCTAAAAGAGAAAGACCTGGAAAATCAGAATGCATATGGTTATTCTTAAAGAAACAGACTTTTCCTTACCCTTGTGTTGAACCCATCTGCATTTTGAGTAATTTTGTATAACTGTGGAAATCTAAGCATACTATCTTGAGTACACGATCGTTCAAAAATTCCCAGAGTAAAGGGTGGCAGCGCTGTGAAAATCTGCAAGGAAAGCAAATACTAATTAAAAGCAGCTATTACTTTTAAGTGGATCTCAGATAATATTTCAGTATCTAGACAATAGCAAAATTCCCACAGGCTTCAGTGAAGACATATTACCAACTAGCATGTTATTTGACATAATTTTCCAATCTCCAAACAAGTCCAAACATGAATTTCAGCAATTCATAACTCTCAAATATTGACTTATGAACAAAAGAAACATGAAAGAAAATTCGGACTATTAACCAATTAGCTTAAACCCAAGAAGTTAAGTGTCATTAGCTTCTGATGTACCAGCTAATCTAGCGAGGGTAAAACACATCAGACTACAAAGGAAAGACAACACGTCCTTTTTCAAAAAAGCCTTGTGGGAATGGGTTCAAATATACCTGCAGTTGTAGCCATAATTAAATATGTAATATGCTTAACCAAAGCTAAGTTTACAGACAATGCAAATGTGGAAATCACATTAAAAAAAAAAGAAAAATCACTGAAAGACAAGGCCATTCTGTATTATGGTACTTTGGGGATTCTCCAGGCAGGCATGAACTGATAGGAAGAAATTAACTGCAGTATGTGTCTGTGCTATGGGTAGACACTTAGATGACCAAGCTTCGGAAGCTCTCCAGGAGAGGCAGCAGGACACTTTGCCAGAAGCAGAGTAAATTAGCCTCTGCCGAGTCCCACATTGCTGCTCTTAAAGTGTTTCCAGGATCTGAGGCAGCTCATTTAAAGCCAGCTTGGGTATCCATGTTTCTTGCAGTCTGCAGCGCAGGCACAGAGTGAAAATACCAGTGTGCATGCCTGAACGCTAAACTTCATTCACTTCCTTTTACATCAACAGTTTATATCAGAAAAATCATTTCTAATCCTATACAAACATGTATTTTTAACAGTTTGAGAAGTGTTCTTGAAGTTAAGAAGCAGCTTGAAGTTACGACTGTTCCTAGCACGTAGGCATGTTTGCAAAAGTTGGGCTGTGGTTCCCACCAGCAGCGAGTGGCAGTCAGGGAGTAGAAAAAAGAGCAACACAAAGGACTAGAGACTAGTGAGAATCATTAATTACATCCCTAGATCCAATGGGGAACGTGCTGCTTTTGCTCATGAAGTGATAAACCAGATGGTTAAAACAGCAGCAGGCTAGGGGTGGGGAACTGAAACTAAGACCACTGGTCCAACACACTTCAAAAAAGGGCATGTTCTCATACAGCTTTAAAGGTACTTCCCCAGGTTTCCCATGCTTATAGGGGCATTTACACTCACTTGAATAAATCTTCTAGTGGTTTTGTTTATGAAGGTAAACCTCCAGTATGAACCAGTGCAAAAGCAGGAATTACAACGCTCTGATGGTTTCCTATACTTAATATTTTAGTGAGACTACTAATGAAATAAAGGGGTTAATCAGCAGAGAAGAGAATGACAGAGCTAAATCCACTTAAAAATCTAACTCCTTCAAATTGTGGAAGTCCCTAATATCCCACTAGCACTTGATTCTTCATGAGTCCATGCGGCCAGTTCTAATTTTAGAAAATACCGACCTTATAAAACAAGGGTTAGTTTCTACATCACTGATTCTAGAAGATGAGTTTCATCCATGAGCTTTATGTAAGGTAGATAGATCCATCAAATCAGTTTAAAGATAATAGATGCAAATATCTAAACACAAATGACACAAACTGAGTAACAGTCAGGAAATTAGGGTGAAGAGAATCAAGGGAGTGGAAAATCCCTGAATAAGTATCTTCCACAGAGAATATGAAATCTTACGGAATATGAGGGTTTGTGCCATCATTTTTAAGATTAATGTGACAGAAGTTAAGTGTTTCTATTAATACCACTCAGTGATAGAGATAATTTGCTGGCTTTTTCTGTATTACCATATATTTGGAATAAGTCGCCTTAAAGAAAAAAAAAAATTAAACTTCCTCCCTTCGAATAGAAATGCAAAGGATTTTTCAACACTGACAAAGCGTCCTAATGGCTTAGAAATCCAGACACCAGGCCACTCATCAGTAACATTACAAAGGTAACACCATTGAAAACACCAGCACAGGTCTATGGTATGCTATGGAACTTGGTCCCAGAGATCCTCTAGACTTCAATATTATTGATTAAATAATATTACTGATTCAAGTGATGAAGTCACGTGGCACAGTGTGGGACTCTGCAGAGTGCAGTGAAAATCAGAAATCACTCCTGGACTGACACATCCTGCTCTTGGTTCAAGTGAAAAAATGCTGGCGACACAGCGATGCTACTTCCCGTTCTGTACTTAACGTAGCATAGGTCAACCCAAAACATCTGCATGACACTTCTCTGAGCATCTGTTACAGGGTTTGAGGAAAAAAAGCCAAACCAAAACTCAAAGATTAAGACTCTGTATCTATTTTGAACATGAACAGTCAGCAAAATATTCAGTATAAAAGACTGAATATGCTTTCAAAGAAGAAATTAAATTCCCATCTAAAAGGTGCAGAGTTTTATGGAAGTTATATTAGGCCAAACGTGTATTTCCAAGGCATTTTCTGAAATCTATTTCTGCGATCAAAACACTATCCAAAATGAATTATTTTTTTCCTACCTCAGAATGGATCCAAAATGGATTTTACAAATGAACTCACCTTTCCCGACATACATCCAAGACAGTTACCTGTGAGAAATGGGACAGCAAAATAACATAGAAGTCCCAAGCACTATCAAGTCAAAACATGTAGCACTTACCACATTATACAGACCAATGCACCACCGCTCAAATAAGATCTGCCCAGAAAATCCATTAACGAAAGCAAACCAAAGCTGAAACAAAGACAAGTTACAAGAAGCTTTAGATTACTACTGCAGTACATGTTTCCATTTACAGCAGAGGAGAAGGATGTGGAACAGAGACCACTATCTGGAGACAGCTGCTTGTCATTCTCTAAAAATAATTATCAGCAGTGACAGGCAGTTACTCTCTTCTAAAGTCTTACATTTTAAATAGTGCCAGAGTACTGCTTATTTAAAATAAAATACTCAGGTGATGGAGCAATTTGCTGTATTTGCATCATTACTCTAAAAAAACAAATGGCCTCAAACTATTTCAAAATCCTTATTGCTGGCAAATTAACATGCCTGAAGCGAGAAGCCAGCCTCATTTCCATCATGGTTGGCAAAGACCAGAATTTTTAAGGTAAGCATGTTTTGATGGACGCTGTGCTTCACTTGCGTCCTATTTTTACAGTCCCAGAATTACAGTGATACCAACTCATCAGTTAAATAATCATATTATGATTTTGTTGTCCATATGATGTAAATATTACTCTTTAATAAACTATCAATTTAATAATTAAACATTGGAAGAGGTCGCCCAAAGAGGCTGTGGAGTCTCCATCCTTTTACAAGTTTACAAAACCCAACTGGGCAAGCCCTGAACAACCTGGTTTGAATTCACTGTTCACCCTACTTTAAGCAAGAAGTTGGACTAGATGGCCTCCAAGCTGCCTTCCAACTAATGGGATTCTGTAATGCCACAATCCCAGAAAACCACTGTTAGCTGCAGTGCATAGGTAAAACTCTTTTCAGCATTTCCTTGGACCTAGCTTCCTTGAGACTACTTCTTATCTTGTTTAAGCAGCTTTTTGAAGCAAGAGCTGCTTTACTGGGTTAGAACAAAGTTTCAGTCAATGGGCATTGAAAGAAGCTTAGGAAAGACTGTAAGAAAGAAGGGAAAGAATTATTTTTTCCCAAGTAAACTGGAAACTGGAAGAATAATCAGCAGTTTAAGGGCATCCTGAAACAGTTTGCATGTCAATCATTGCACTTAATAGATAACAAAGCATTTCTGTGAATCTGTGGCTGTAGTCCCTTTTAAAATCAACACTGCACCACAGCACTTCATTCAAAAGTAATTCAACACTGTGTGTGGGAACGCTCCCCCTCCCCACTCCCTTTTCAAAATGTTTTGTCTTGCATTTAGTTGACAAGTTCACACTGCACTGGATGCACTAGGTATTGCAGAGCAGTCAAGTGATGCCGGCGCCTATTCCCTTCTCACCGCCTCAGAGCCCATGGAACTCACTGCCAAGCACCTTTTCTGACACCATTCTGTCACTCATACAGAGCAGCACTCTCCTACCAGCATAATTTATTCTCTGGCTCACTTGCACAGTATTAGTGTCCTAGCAAAACACTTCAGATAACAATTAGTTAACCGTATGTCATCTGATCTCTTCTCTGCTCCCACCCAAACCGGATATAATTAGGAAAGAAGACAAGAGAAGATAACAAGACTGCATCAAGACCTACAAATTTTTTCATAGATGCAATATCTAAACAGACTGGGACTCTTCAACATGGGACATCAGCAACTTAAGGGAAGATTAAAGTATTTACAAGATTGACAAGAATAACAAATAGATGTTCAAATAGGCACTGCTGCAAGGTGCTAGATTAACAGGCTAGACAAAAAGAAAAAGTGAAATGTTTTCACACAATACATAGTTGATCTACGGAACTGCCTGCCAGACGATGCTGTGGATGCAAAAAGCAATTAGGAAAAAAAAAATCACAAAAGGAAAACTGTACAGCAGATGAGTCTAACAGAGAACTACCACTGTTCACAGCAGATCAGAGACCAGGTTAGCTGGACTCTTATTCTGAACCTCTACAGCTGTTCTTACATCTGTTGTATCACTACTCTTGTTTAAAATGAATCATCACTCTAATGCACTCTCACTGTTCAAGCGAGAATCAATGACACTGATATCAACTCATTTGCTTATAGATATGCCTTGCACAGTAGGCCAGTTATTTAAACTTATTTCCTACAATTTTTTAAACTTTCAGCTGCTCCTTCTAGTAGGGAGTTTCTATCACTTTCACCCTACATTATTCTGAGTTTGCACTTTTCTATACCTGCTGCTCTTCTTGCAGCATGTAGTTTAGAAATGCCCTTGTAAGCTTTCTTAAAGGCCAGCAATTTCATTCTATTTCCATATAGTTGAAATGCATCACCCTAGTATAAACTGCAAAATATTTCTCCAGTTTCCTAAAAAAATTTCCTCTTTCACATTGTTGGTCATGCACTAATTGAAATTAAATAAGCATTTAAGTGTTCAACTCTCCAGCTCTGTCCAGAAAAAGGACAATTGTACATCCCCAACTTTTTTCATCACTTCTACTGTATTGATACCTTGAATGATCACTGCTCTCTAAATCTCACTCTAATCACTCAATTAATGGCCCAAAGTAGCATACAGACCACTCTCACACATGGAGAGTTTCAACCACTTGTACGCCTCAGCTCTTCAAATGAAAGATATGAAAGATCTTCGGCACAAAGCCTGAGGTCCCAAAAAGAAACCACAATTAATTTGCGGCTGTCAGGTAAGGAACTTGAGGGCTGCTTCTCCTAGGAAGAAACAGAGCTTTAAACAAGCATACTCCCTGACACTTAGCAATGATGCTTTAGGCATTTATCATCTCCAGGCTTCTTGCAATTAATTGCAACTATGAATGAGGGCATCAATCCTAGAAAACATAAATAGCTCACAAATCAGAAGCCTGTCTGCCTAGCTGGCAACCTCAGCCTGTGCTCTGCTCAGTTTTCTAGATCCCACTGGGCAAAGCAAACTTCAAAGGTTTGGTAGCAAATGTTGAGGCCTTTTATGACATTGGCTCATGCTACTTAGGAAACCATTGCTTTCTGAAACCATAGCCTCCCACAACTAGTCCTCGAGCAACAGACTGTTCTGATTTTCCATCAAGATGGTAAAACAAAGCAGCCAGACTTTCTGTAGCTGGCCCATGACTAGAAGAAAAGCCCGAAACCAGGCAAAGCTAACGTCTTAGATGCACATTTCCCAACAAAAGTATTAGCAGTAATGAAGTGAAGATACAATCATATAAAACTTGGAAAAAGCAAAGCTATTAAGATGCCTCACAAAGCAGCAGACTGTCAAAGTACAAGTGAAAAATACTGCCTCAACAACCCAACTCTTTCTATTCAAGGTTCCTACTCTGCCACAATTGGGTGATGCAGAATTCATTAAAGACCCTGCCAAAACCACCTTGAGGTTAGTCAATTACTATAAGAGAATATTGAGAGGAATGCGTCTGACTGTGGTAAATAGGTATCTAGGCGCCACTATCTTTAGTCTTCTGCAGCACCTTTCAACACTGAAAGAATTTTCTACAAAAAATTTTTCTCCTTATTTCAAGGCTGGTATGATTTAGATGGGCAAGAACTAACATTCAGAAAGTTCGATGTTCTGCTATTTCAAAAACCAAATTAGAGCTATTTTTCTTTTGGCAGGATCCATATAGGTGAAAATTAGAAGTGAGAACATTCCCAATGCTTATGCAAGTCTGCGTGCACCACACGCTCCAAACAGAGGGCAAAAGCTGTAACAGTTACAATGCACTGTAAATAACAGCTATGGTTATCTTTTCCAGAGATTCACGTTATTGAATGCCAATCAACAGAAAGAATGTCATATACTTCCTCGGTATCTTAATGTCAAGAGTAAATCAGATACTCTGCGTAAAATATACACTTACTTCAAATGTAACACAAGCCTTAAATTGTCATGCATGGTTTAAGGACCAGCTGTGTGCAGAGAGAGTATGGTATTCTTTCAGGTCAGCAAAGGAAGAAAAAAAAAAAAACAAAACACAAAACCCAAAACAAACCACACAACAAAAAAATCAAAACAACCCCTCCACCTCAATGTTCCTGTTAACAAAATGTACTAAATGTATTTGAAGTTGCAACAACCCATGCTTGACTCAGACTTGGTAAGCTGGTAGGAAAACTTGCCAAGTCTGCCTGGCTTGCCAAGCTCCAGGGGTTTGCAGGGCTCAACTCCAGTACTGCTATGAACAAATGGACCCAAAAGTTATTAAACTGCCTTTCTGGCTGGAAAAAAGAAACCTTTTCACTTTAACTATTACCTGACTGCCAAAAAGCTGGAAAAGCTTATTTGTAACTCAGCTACAAAATATATATATTTTTCTCCCAAAGAACAAGAGGTCCAATTAAATGTAAAGAAATTCAGACCCAAGGCTGAAGTCTGGGTTGATATATTGCTGAGCTTTATTATAGCAGATACTGCAAAGATCTGAAACCAGGAGATACTGTGCACAAAAAGTGGAACATGTTGCAAACACGTTGTAGCCCATGTTTCCTGCCTTGAAGTGTGGCTGTATTCTTTAAATAAAAAAACCCCACTGCTGAAACACTTGATGCCAGCTGTGATGTGGGCACTTCGCCACTAGAGAAGGCAGAGGGGGTGCGGCAATCAGACTGCTGCCTCCTTCCAGAGGTCAACAAAAGCCAACAGATGGTAATACTTGGTTAATATTGACTTGACCTGCAGGCAAACTGAGGATCTCGAGGTAAAACAGTTCCGCGCTGCCATTTTGAGCCACACAGCACATCCACCTGCTCTAGAGTATCTTCTGAGAAAAGATCAAGTATTATTTTCAAAAAATATTCCCACTTGAGCAAGTTGGAAGGCAATTTTAATTGCATTATTGCTTCATGCATAATTACCACAACATTAATGCCTGAAATAGCAGGAACTAATTTATTTAAGTGCTCTAAGGCACTGGGATAGCAAATCATCTATTCTAAATGTGTATATTTATGAAGTCTTGATAATAGACAGCTTAATGAGTACTAGAAATGTTTTCCCAATGCTGCTAAAGGGCACAGAAAGCTAATGTAGTCAGGGTATCAACAATTGCCACAGGCACCAATTATAGCCAGACTAGATGCCTTTACTATTCAGAAATGAGTTAAATTTTCAAAATATCCT